TCCTGTGGTACCTTGTGGTAATCCCGCCATCGCGTCAGTCCGCTCCGGGTTGCCACAAACGCCCGTAGCACCGACGGCGTCTCTTCCGGACTGCACGAAAGTGCATACAGCAGAAACGAGAACAGAAGAAAAAAGCCAAGTCTTCCAGTAAGTTTCTCTTCTAACCATCTGCTTCACAGATTTCTTCAAAAACGACTCGTTCAACAACAACAACAACAACAAAATTTTTCATCAAATATAGTGCCAGTCTAGAGTGTCATAAGCCAATGGGGGACCCGACATGCGGACGATTCGACTTTTAGGGACACTTGAAACTCAAAAATCTGCCCCAACATATCCAGAGAAATGTCTCGAGATATGAACACATTTTCAACATGTACTTTATAAACAAATGGAGAAAATTATTAAAAAAAAATGTTGATATCTCTAGAACAACTGAGATTTTATACTCACAAAAAATAGATTTTCATTAAAAATTTCAAATAATGTACAGTATAATCAAAAGGGTTTGATTTTGTGCTTCATTTTTCACAGTTATTCTCATGATTTGTGCATTTTTTTTATTTAGCATTCATTAATTTCCTAATTTTCTAACAGAATAAAATAATATAGTGGGTCTCCAACAGAGGGACAATTTGACTTACAGACACCATAGAAATACAAAAGCTCTGCCCCATCATTTGGAAAATGTCTCAAGATACAGGGATAATTTTTCAACTTTTTCTGAAGAATTTAAAAAATGCCTAGTTTTCAAAATTTGGGACATTTCTCCAACAACTACACCAAAATTGAAAATAAATGTTATTGAAAATTTACTCAAATTCATAATCAAAACAGGCTAATTTTGTGCTTATTTTTTCAGAGTTCTGTCCATCATCTGCGCGAAGTATCACAGCATGACTTTCTCTTATTGATCCTCATTTGTTTTGCACCTTTTGATGCCAAAAGACAAGTTTTCGTATAGTTTTCCTCTGCACAGTTATTTACAACATCTTTAAGTAGAAAAAGAACATTTTAATTTACTTTCAAGGGACTTTTTTCGTTACTTTTTGGCTTATCACAGGAAAAGCAATTCAATATAATCCCACATTGAAGTCTAAGGGAAAACGTGATCTGGCACGCGGACGTTCCGACGCATGGACAAGGTCCGAACACCGATTACGTCCGAATCTCGGGGCCCCGTAACTGCATATATGTACCAGATGCACTTTTCATTTGCAAAAGACACAATAGACCAGCACAATGATAACATTATAATCATACAGTATATAAACAATTGCGCGATAAAATCTTTCTTCCGGAAAATGCGAATACCGTCTGCAAAATTCCGTGGTCCAGCAATTAAAAAAATAATCAATGATTACGCATCAATGATCACAACGTCATGATCGTGTGATCGGCTCCTCTTTTGATTTGCGGTCCTGCATTCTTGACTTTGGCAGTCGTGGAAACGGAAGGGCGTGAAGGAATTATTTCATCTACCTGATCATACTTTACCTGGGTACGAATTGCATTAATGCGTCCATGAAGCTATCCGGGCTTTAATGAATGCAATCAAGCAAGTAAGAGGAGGAAGATGGAATTATATGCCAAGGAATCAGCAGGCAAAAATAAATAAAAAAAACGCTACACTGTGTTAAATATAATTGTACAGTATAAAAATGCGATTGGATCAGCTATAACGTCTCATCATATGCAAATCGTGTTCCATCCAAACCTCACATATGAGGCATCATATGAACTTCATTTGTGATATTCAGAAGACGCAGCAGTGTAAAGCTGTTCGAGTCTTTCACTATAGCTTTTTATCGAGTAGAACACTTTATAGTGGCTACGTACGAGAGGATTGATTTGTAAAAGATGATAAGCGGCCACTTATTGCTGTCATTGGAGGCGGATGCAATTTTTTTCTTTTGCTCTTCAATTCTTCATTATTGGAGTCTAACGAATATTTCATCGATTACTCAGCTACAGAAGAAAACAAGAAAAAGACCTGGACCACTGCAGTGAATCCCCTCCACTGAAGTGAAGTTTGATTAATCAGGAGCAGCTGAATGCGCATTTGCATGCTCTATATGACTTCGGGGGTTACGTTGTATAAACTTCATTTCAGCGTGCACGGCATTCACTGAGATCCAGGTATTTTTCTTCTTTCCTTCTGTAGCTAAATATTTGATGTGAAATTTATTAGACACCAATGAATAATTGAAGAGCAAAAAAAAAATTGCATCCGCCTCCAATGATGGCAAATGCCCGTTCACCATCTTTTACAAACCAAGCCTCGGATATATAGCGTCCACCAGAATCCGAGTTTTCACGGTAAATAAACTTGGGGGATTTTCACTGCACTCTTCCAACAAATACAACCCGACTCAACTGTCACTTTCAACATTAAAAAAGATGAAGATCTTAAAACGCTTCAAATTCCTCAAATTACTTATTCAGACAATGGACTCAGCACAGGACATTTTTTTAAATAATTAACCAAGGTATATCTTAGAGCAGCATAATAATAGTAAACGCAGGTGGACTCGGCCAAATTTTTCTCTACATAAAGAATTCGTTTTTGGTCTCGTACACGGCAAAACTATTTAATATGCAACATATTTGTTTTTGGTCCCTTGAATTTTGTTGTAAACACGTCTAACCTTCTATTCGACATCGATATCGTCAATGAGAAAAATAATCGTGGTCTTCGGAAAATCGGCAACATTTTTCACACAATATGCAACAGGCCCCTTATTGCAATAACATGTCCGTCTGCGTCATTATTGCGTTTAAATAGCACAGTCCGAATCAATAGCAGACCAGTCAGTTACATTATTTTAACTTCGTTTCGTTCAGTTTAGTTTACTGATGTGACAGCAGAGAACGCAGCAAAAAATAAATAAATAAAAGTGGTTTTAGAGGAAATTCTTTTTCACCTGTCGTATTTCACTCCATTGTCAGAGGCGTTGTAGACATCGGTGGCCATGGCGTCGAATAGCAAGAACTGCACGAGGTCTTTGTCACCTGTGCGACACAACATAATAAAAATACAGCGTAAATCAATCAGTTGGATAACAAGATCTCGTTATAACGATTTTTTTTCCTCGGTAGCGGCAGTTTCTTCATGGGCATAATATTACAAAAATTTCATTATAATACAAACTAATTTTCCTCTGTATGCTCTCAGTAAAAATAATTTTTGCCAATTGATCATGTGTGCATGGCCAATGGCGATTTTCACCAGTGGTCACACCATGGGAAAACTCAACTTGTGCATTACTGAAAATGTAGCCATGCGAGAAAATGAAGCTGTACAGTGCGTATTCAAAACGTATTTAACTATATTTTTAAAATTTAGAGACGGCTAATTTTTTTTAAAGAAACATATGTTTGGAAGGATACTGCTCCATTTCAGGGAACATACACTTCATAAAAATTACATGCTCTTCTAACGAATATATTTTCCGTTTGTTTCGGCTCAGGCTCCATAAGACTGGTAAGACGATAAGTTCAGTAAGACGATATTTCTAGCGTAGAAACAGTAACAAAGAGAAGACCTAAATAAGAGACTTGCATTTCACACTTTGAAAATTGTCTCTGGTAATGTATTTCGTCAGAAGAAGTTGAAAATTTGAGCAATTTTTTACACATCTCTATAATGCATGGATAAAAGTATAGTAATGTACTTTAAATCATCTATTACCTGTTTCCCACAAAATTGCAGGGCTACGGCTAGAAGTGCACCCATGAATCTCGTTATACTGTAATAAGCTTTTCCCCAGGTCTGTGAAAGTTCGTTGTGACGACATTTTTACTGAGATAAATATCGCCAAAATAAATGAATTATTATTAAAAAAAATAAAATAAAATTGGGCAAAAATCCACTCACAAAAGTAATTCTCTGTCGTCGGCCGGAAGTCATCATCATCATCATCAGATGCGAGAGAGGCGGCAAAAAATAACACGCATTGAAGAAACAGAAACGCGGCGTCGTTGAGTGTCTTTCGCCTTATTTTGGCACGCGAAAAAAAAGACGAAGGGAATGTTGGGGGTCGGGTCGTGTACGTTACCAGGGTCGGAGTCGTTGAGCGGGACTCGTTCCGGCCGCCACTGGAAATTAGGCGGCTTCATCATCCGCTCCAGGAAGTGAATGAGTTCCTCTTCCGGCGTCTCGAACCGGTGCCGCTGAATGTCCTTGCGATGATACGAGCAGTACACCCTGTGGGTACAATTTACGGTCAATGAAAAATATTCGGGGAACACGCCAAACTAGGCGTGATATTCAAAAAGTAACTTCATGACATAGGTCAAATGTTCCGAAGTTCTCCGATTTTTTTTTCGGAATTTTAAAGTCTTTTGATTTACTGCGTGATTATCAAGTGAAAACTTTTCTTTTACAGCCAGCGTGTGTCCTCCAACCATGTTCGCAGGGGACTAAAAATTTGTCAGACCAGATAAAAATTGATTTTTGTTCACCCATTATCTCTCCTAAATTTTAGGGGATTGTTAAAACACAATTTTTTATTCAATTTATCAATCTTTATATTTTCTGAATTATTGTCAGGACAGCTAAAAATTTAATGTTTTACCCATAATCTTTTCTATACAGTATTTTAGAAAATGGTTAAAACAACAATCTATTATTTCATTCACTGAATAATTATTGTCAAAACACCTAAAATTGTATTCTTCCCAGTATCTCTTCTAAATGAATGAATGAATGAATGAACATAACACTTTATTTGCCGCTTTTCAGCGTTCACAAGGTTCAATCAAGATTTCCAAAACCACACCCCCTTCCCACCCAAAAGTATCTCTTCTACTTATTATAGGGAATGGTTGAAACAAAATTTAGAAAACTATTTAGCTTGCCTTACAAATTTTTAGCTCTGTAAGACCTCATTGCGATGATACGAGAAGTACATTCTGGGGAGTACAAAACAGGTGGTACCTCAAACTTCGACAGTTGAATTTGCAGAGGTTGACTTGCATTTGGCCTTCTCAATTGACCAATTTTTTGCATTTATGTACTGATATTTTTTAATTTAACAAAGTGTCTCGCAATTTGACTGCTTTGCAATTGAACCCTAGCTTGGCAACGGATTAGGGCTGAATTGCAAGGTACCAACCTGTGCATGAAAAATACACAATAAATTGCTCTAAATGGATGAATATCAAAATTTTGTCAAATTTTCTACAATTGTACAGTATCTGACGCTTAAAAGACTATTCATCTTATTCATATCTTATTCATTCCCTCTATTTTCTTAAATGAAGAAAATATTCATTCATCTAAATCAAATATGATTGTTTCCACCTTAGAGAAAGAATTAATAGATGACTCCTTCTGTCAGTTGCTACCTGAAAGTTGCTCAGCTAAGGTTGAATGTGCTTACTGATCTCAACATTTTCTTATGAATATTCAGAATATGGATTTTTAAAGAATATAACACTGCTTTTTTGGGTGGTTTTCAAAATATTTCAACTTTTTTTTCAAACCACAGTGATGTAAATATGATATATGCTGTAGGTGCTCACAATCAGTGGCCAACTGGTTATTTGTGCTTTATCTTTGATCTTATTTCCTTTTACGTTGCAACCTTTGCTGAAGTGAAATTTCATTGTTGAAAGTACTGTATAGAGACTGACTGGAGATAAAGTGTCAATCTCTCAGAAAATGCCATCTGAGAACACTGTCTATGAATGAATGAATGAACAGAACACTTTATTTGCCGCTTTTCAGCATTGACAAGGTTCAATCAAGATTTCCACAACCAAACCTCCTTCCCACCCAGTCCAAATCTGTCCACCATTTTCCTCTTAATAGTATCCTATATGCATTGCCTGAGCCTCTGTAAGATAACTTTTTGTAGGTCAGTATCACATAAGCTGCGTAAATGCTCTGGCGCTCCTAATCTCTTCTTCTTGAGAGATACTATGGTATTTCTTGACTTTTAAATTTGAAACAACCCAAACATATTGTGAAATGATTCATGCTCACCAGTCTGGATGCAATCGCCAGTTTTTGTCCGTCTTGACGATTTGACTCACTGCAAAAAAAGCAGTATGAAGGCCATGAATGAAACGGAGATTTTAATCAGAATGCGCTACCGAACAATTTTCCGCATTGTAGAATAGTGCATCTAAAAATAAAAAAACCGGAAGCATTGTATTAAGAGGTACTTCCGCAAAACATTTTCCAAGGTATCAAACACGAATTTCTATGTAGACACTTTGTTAAAGAGACGCCGTTTGTTACGAGCTCAAAACGTTCTAATATGAAGTATTTGATCATCCAACAAAACTTGGTCCCAAAGGCACTTACTCTGTCGGTTCTACAGAAAATCAGGTGCAGTGGGGCCCCGACATGCGGACGACCCGACTTAAAGAAACTTGAAAGTAAAAAAAAAAAAAGAATCTGCCAAGGCATCTGGACAATGTCTCATATGATGCGGACACTTCAACAAAATTTCTATAAGAAAAATGGAGAAATTAATTTTAATTCAAAAAATGTTGATACCTTTCAAACAAATTGAGGTTTTCAAAATCAAAATTTTCAGGAATGCATTTTAAACTAAATTAATTGAAATACAGCATATAATCCATAGCAGGCTAATTTTGTGTTTTTTTCAGAGATAATTCTATTCTTTTGGGCACAGTATAGGAAGACTTGTGCTTGGTCTTAGCTATGTTCGGGCTCCTTATCACGCCAAAATATCAGACTATGCATGGTTTTTCTTGTCTAGTTATTTTGTATCTCTTGCATTAAGATGAGAAGAATTATATAATTAAATCTATGCGGGACTTTTCTCCAATTTTTAGCACAGGAGAACCAAGCAAAGTAATTATTTTCCCATCCAAGTTGAAGAAAATATGTCATCCGACATGCGGAGATTCCAACATATATAGGGACAAGGTCCAAGCACCAATGTTGTCTGCATCTCGGGGCTCCATTGTACAAGGGTTGTCCCAATTGGACGCGGCCTATGATATTCCTATACAGTAGGTACACTAGTGTGATACAAAAAAAAAAAATAATGACATAGCCTAAAATGAACCATGGTTCTGGGATTTTTTTCAGATTTTTGAAAAAGGTTTTTTTTCAATTCACTGCGTGATGATCAAGTGAAAACTTTCCAGTTACAGCCAGCAGCTTTCTCCACCCATGTCACATCAGGGTACTAAAATTTTGTCGTGCAAGCTATATAATGAAAAAAAAATTTGCTGTTTTAACTACAGTATTACCTATAATTTAGAAAATATAATGGGTGAAATAACAAAAAACATCAATTTTCGGCAGACCTGATAAATTTTAAGCTACCTGCTGAGCAATGGGTGCACTAGTGCACAACTCCGACTGTTGTTATTGGAAAGTTTTCACTCATCATCATGCAGTAAATTTAAAAACTCTTTCAAAATCCAAAAAGAAATCCCATCAGAGCCTTAAAAAATCATCGGTCATGACACGATTTTCTTTTTTTTGGGCTGAAATTCCACCAACTCCAGAAATATCAGAGACTTCGTCCAACTAGGACAACCATTGTATTCTCGTGCAATTTACAGTACAGTCAACCCCCGATTTCGGGCCACCGATTTAGTGCACATTTTGCCGCACTAATCGGGGTTTGACTGTACTTCATTTTGTCTGGGTATGTGTGTGTGTGTCTGTGTCTAATGGGGATGATGACGAATGTCGGCTCGTCATCGGTTCCACACATAAAATGCAGCACGTGTATACGGTATATATATATATATATATACATATATAACCCACCGTCTCGCCCGTGTCTCGTGTAGTCCCTCGTCACTTCCACGTGTCCCGTGAAGCGGATGCGGCCGTAGGAGGAGGGCCAGGCGGCGCCGAGCGAGAAGATGACCTGGCCGTCGGACGCCGACGACCGCGAGTCCGGCATGAAAATCGGGGCGTCCGGCATGCTGCGCCGGGCCTCGGGCGAGTCCTCGCGCTGCACCGGGAAGTACCCGTAGTCCTGCTCCAACACTGCCACGCGTTTCTGTCGAATCGAATCAAAACGATGAATCAATCAATCAGTTGAATTCTACATGTTCATCCATTCTTTCATTCACACTCACCAGGTTGTCGAGCGGTACTTTCACTCGCAGCTTCTTCTCGAACCCGTTCTCGCCTCGCACGATTTTCTCTCGCATCTGTTTATCATTCAAGGCAAGAACAAGAAGAAGAAAAGGTGAAAACTCCTCGTGTTTTTTCCCGGTCGTGATATTGCGAATTTTTTAGTAGTAAAAATGCTCGAAATCTCATAATTACGGGTAACCCATCAGCATACGGTATATATCAACAAGCAGGTGTCATCTAACGAATGTTCTAGGGATAGAAGCTGAAACACCCCATATACGACCGAGTTGAACAACAATCATTGTTTAAAAAAAACACACACTCTTTGGCACAAGACACGAAATTCAGCCCGGTTTCAAATATTTCTCGAAGATGCTGTGGTGTGGCACTCGAAAGAATACCGTACACTACTGTACTTCCAAAACATGAAAATTCACCCCAATTTCACTTTTCACAAACACGGGCTTGTACTTAATGTACCATATTAAGCTCTGAAAAGTGTTCGTTTTTTCAATGATACACAGCAGCGAGTTTTCGAGGAAGTCGTAATTTAATATCAAAGATTTTCTCACAGAAAAAAAAGGAATGAAAAGGTTGAAAATCTGTTCGACTCAGTTGAACATCCTTTACACATAGAACTCAGGCATGAATGGGTCCAGTTTCATAACATTGTCAAAGATGTAAAAAGCTAGTGTTTCCTATATCCGAAACGATGGCACAAAAATAAAATCTCGGATGATATCAACTGTAAAACAGATAGCAGGTGCAGAGGGTGTAAACGAAGTCACAGAACATTTCTACACTTTGAAAACAGGTCATAAAAACTTCGCAAAAAGTGTTTGTCTTATTGTTTCTGCGACATGAAATCTATACAGTTGCAAATATTGTATCAGTGCACACTCACCTTCAGCAGCCTGGTGTCGTTCGCAAAAAGGCCCTCAACTCCTTCTTCCAGCTCCACTTCGAACAAATCCACGCTGTTGTAATTCGGTTTCAGCATGTAATCTTTGTACTGCGTTGGAAAATGAAATGGCATCGTATGAAATATCAAGACAATGATTAGCTTCTTTGTATCGAAAAAAAAACGGCGATTATTGCATGCAATCAAAGTTGACGCCTTCAGGATCCCTCAGACGAGTACAGAAACTGGACGAAATTAAACATACGAAGTGCTCATCATCAGTGAATATAGCTCAACTTGACATAACTTTAAATTAAAAAAAAAATCCAGCGAAAACCAGGTAAGCCAGAATATCCCACTTTTCAAAGTAATGTTCACGTCAATAAAATATATTCCTCATCGTCACATGAACACTATCGGTTTCTCATCCCTTACTAAAGAATTATCAATAATAAATAATGTAACTTTAGTCCAGTTCCTCAGCAATCCTTTTTCGTGATCGCATAAAAGCATCTTGGATTGTTATTTCAACAAACTCACCACTGGTCTGAAATCTCTGTGGAACATGATGTGGCCATTGTTTGTCACCATGAAAAAATAGCCGTTGACTCCAAGCTGAAAGAATTGCAACAATGTTTTCATTCCTTCGTTTCACAGAATGAAAAAAAAAAGAAAGGAAACAGGAAAGTCAATACAGGCGTTATTTTTATATTAGTGTTTGATGTTATTGAAAACCACGATTGACTGTATGCAATTGAAACAGAAGCATTATCATCATGATTCAAACAGTCAAACAATTGTTTTTCGAAAGGATATAAGTGGCCATTGCTAAATTTTAAAAGAACGCTGAATAAATTCTGATTAGAGCTTCATACTTCCTGTGATACTGAATCTTCTGTACAAAAAGAAGCATTTGAATTGTTGAAGGTTTTTTTTTACTATATTCCCCAAGTCGAAGTTGAATTTTCCCATGTTGTGAAAATCAGTAAACATTTCTATGGTACTTATCCTTAATACACACATAATCAAGGTTAAATTGCATTGTACTGACATTTTCAAGGAAAAATAGTTTGTTGAAGTGAAATTTGTATACCATTATCATTACGATGAATCTGCCGGGACCAAGAAAAAAAATTCGTTATAACAAGATTCGTTGTAAAGGAATTTCACTTATTATTGACATATGAAAGCAACCCTAACTCAGACACAAAAAATACTTTTTCACCCAGTGTTCAATTATATTGCTTCCCACTGTATTCATTATTATTTTTTGAATCATTTCAGTTGCTTAAATTCCTTGATCGCATTGATTCTCGAAAGCAACACGTCCTGACACAGTAAACTCTCGTTACAACAAAGTCATTGAAACGGTAAAAAAAAAGCTTCGTCACAGGGAAAAATCCGTTTTGAAGAAAATAAAATGATATTAAGGCTATCAGGCAGGGATTGAAAATGAACCTATTCATCGTAATCGATCATTGGTTATAACGAGATTTGTGGCAGCGATATTGCCAGAATCTCGCTACAACAAATTACAGTACAGTACTGTAATCATTGCTCATCATGAATTTGTTTTCATATCCCTGACGACACCAATAAACGTAATATCACTTGATTCGCTATTTATAAAGAAATTGTCTTCATAACGAATTATTGTTCCAGCTCCCAAACAGCTTCGTTGTTGCAACTAGATTTTACTGTACATGAAATATTTTACACTAAATTCCTCTCTCTGCGGGTGTAACTAACGACAACCCATTCAAATTATTTTAGCATGGCATCACCGAAGCTGATATCATCCATCACTACAGTATACACTCTGACTCCTGCAGTTCATCGAAAAAAAAAAAAGAACACATACCTTGTGATGAGGAGCGAGCATCTGGAAATCCGCAATCGGAACATCGATGCCGACGACTCCCAGAATATTGGCTTGCCGTTTCTGTTTTCCGTCATCCGATGATAGTCGCCAAAAACGAAAACTCGCATTGCATGAGGTGTTCACATGGGTTAGTTCGACTAAAAGAGGGGAAACTCATCTTTCTAAAAGAAACATGACTGCTGTTTACTTTCTCCTCGCTAATGAAAAAAATCAACTAAGTATAGCCAGCCAAAAAAATGTGAGTAAGTCAACACTGCGGACAAAAAAAGGTATAAACTCGCAGATACAGGAAAAAGAAAACAAAAATCTCATTTTCGTATCATATACGCAAACCTTTTCCTCTGTGAATCTATAGAAGGAGCAAATAACCAAACTCAGGCTCGCGATCATAAATACGTACTTCTGTTTTCCTCAAAAAATGTATATATACCCAACGCAAGGAAACGTCGATCCTTGCTTCGTATACATATATATATACGAGTATATATAGAACCAAAGAAGAACTGATGTATATATACTGCATATGAAGAGCTTTTCCTATTACATATGATGAAATCCTAGGAATGCACTGCTGCTAAAATAAGGAAAAGACCCGAATCTCGACTACTTTCACCTAAATTTCCGCGCGACGTGAAATCTATCGCTGGAATTCTCGTCTGTCAAACCGTACTCTGTTGTATACACCTATAAAGACCTACGATGCTAAAAACTCTATCGCGAATAATACAATACGAAGATCGCCGACTTCCGCCCTTTTTGTGATGGTCATTTATACTGAATAGAATTGATTTACTTTACAGCAACTTTTTTTCATCTCAAATAATACATTCAAATTTTCAAGCAGATAATCACGCGATTTTTCTCAGATTAAAAAAAGGAGGATGAATATCGAGTCAATGTAAATGGAGCTGAATATTTTTGCATCGAGTTCCAGTCGAGTCAAAATGCACACTCAGAAGAAACATATTACAAAATTGTATATTTTTAGAATAATGATAAATTATAACGAACGCTTCACCGTATTTTCGCGCATATATAAAACGCCATAGATTCTAAAGTATCATAAAAAATCCTTCTCATGAGTAATTATATTCAGCCAGAGAAAATATTTTCATAGCGATTCGAAAAGACACCATTTTTACTTTATGATAAAACACAATTTTACAAGATCAGCCAACGCGTGGAAATAAATTTTCAGCCTCCTTGAAAATAATCCGTTCAATTCGAAAAATATTTTAATAGGCAGGTATTGTAGTAGGATAAATTCTTCATTAGAAAAGTATCAAATTAACCCACATCAAAAAGTTATACACTGTAACAATCGAACAACTTGGGGAAAAATGTACGGTTATAAGATGGAAAAATAAATCGGATTTTGTTACACATTCGGAATCAATGTTCCAATTCGAATCGCTGATTTCTTCTCTTTTCCGATTTTGATCAGGCTTTAAAAACGTATTTTTGGAGCATCAAGAGAATACTTGAAATTCAGCAGTCGAAACTTAACAGCGGATGAAAACACACGTCCTGATCATTTATTCAAGAATAGATCGAGGAAAAATGGCGTATTTTATGTTTGCGAAAATACGGCATTTTATCATGCGTCACGTTTGAAATTCAATGTGGTTATTTGCTTAAAAACATGACGAACACGTTCAAATAAGTCTCTCCATATTTCAATGCCTCAGAATTTAGAAAGATATCCCAGTTCTGGTCATTCGAAGACGAGAGAAAATATTATCCGATTCCCTTCAGACGCAAAACCTTCTTTTAGGACTTCAGTTATCGAAAATCAAGGACTCGTTTCAGGGTTTCACACAAAAAACCGACGCGGCATTTTTTTTTTTTTTTTTTGGGAAATTCCGTCGCGTTTTCAGTTCAGTCTAATGCAAGAAAAAGTAGCTCTCAAACCACACTCGTATTAGTTTTCGGCTCAGGAAAGTCGAGCGATGAAAAATCATCTAACAACGACCACAACTGTCTCACGCTAGAAAGAACACGACGATCGAGAGGGACACCCAGAAAATTTCCCCATTGATTCAAATGCAAACAATAAGTCATCGATCCGAATAAATTAGTCGAAAGAGGAAAAAGAATTTAAAACCTGCGAACCATTGACTTTTAAAATCAAAATCTTTCTTAGCTCGAACATCGATGGAACGTGTCACATATGGGACAGTTGAAGAATTTCATTTTGCTCTTGCCCTTTGTTCAGAAGATAAATCGACATTCGATCGACGGGAAACGAACGCTTCTCGAGATTTAAATATTCAATGACTATTTTTCTGCTTGTACATCACAGAGGAGAATGTCATAATGCAGCCAGTAGTGTTCCTCAACCTTTTTGGTCCCGCGGACTGACAAATTTCCACAATTTTTGTTTTGCTGACTGACAAAATTGCATACATTTTTTGCAAACCAGCAGAATTTTTAAAAAATACCTTTCATGAAATCCTCCAACCAAAACTTTTACGGCCAAAATGAATCCAAGAACCAATGAAGCAGGCACAGCAAAATGTCTTCAGAAATTTGAAAGCTGGACTTCAAGAAAGGTTTCTCAAAATAAATCAGTATAATAATTCATTTCAGCGGGTGAAAATTCGTCTGAAGCGTTATACTAGGACAAGAAAAGCCAAATTTTATTTTTCAATAGATAATTTCAACTGCCATTGTCTTTCGAAAAATTCCACACGGAGATACCAGATTTAATCCAGTACCTTCGATAAATTTATTGTTTTGTCCAAAATTCTCCGTGACGCGGCAAAAAACTTCTGCGGACCAGTGCACTATAAACCATCAGTGCCATAATACCAATCATGCCACGTTCCACGATGAGCTCAGAAAGATGTAAAATACAGTACACTCCATTAACTTATTCTACATACTTATTACACATCGGCTCGGAAAAATCATCAAGATGTCCCTCGCGAAATCAACAGGAGAAAGAGTAAAGAGCGAGAGAATGAGGTATAGATAGAGAAAGAAAAACAGCACGAGGTTCTCATCGTCGTCACAATAAGATAGTTAGCAGCTATGAAGGCTCTCTCTCTCTCTCTATAAATATAAGTCAACCGTAAGAGATTCTCTCGGAGTCGAAAAAAAAGAAAGAATCCCGTTTCTCGAGAGAGTATTAAAGAAAAAAAGGAAGAGCAATAAGTCAAGTCAGTCTATATAGTAGCCATCAAGGGGGCTTCATATAAATAGAGTGAGCGAGAGAAGGAGGAGACAAGAAGAGGAAGAAGAAGAAGACTATTATATGCATATGGCCGTTGGGATTCCGTGTGTTGTACCTCTCTGATCTTCTCCACCCAGATAGCCTCGTGCTTTAGCACTCGTTCGGACACATTCTGGATTCGTGGGACGGACGGACAAAGGAGAAACAAATAAAAACAACACGCAGATAAACACTTTTTGTCCTTTTTCGCATCCACATAATCTCAATTATCTATATATAAATCTCTCATCATCATCATCCGCGCTCGATGTGAGAAATGAAGGGATATAATGACGGAAAACGATAATCGTCTCGTGTCTCTCTGTATGATATACATATCTCCAGGAAACGGATGAAAGGCAGAAAATAGCAGAGGGAATGGGTTTCAATAACAAGTATTGCATAAAATTTGATATAAATATACTGTACTGTTTTTTTGAAGATCATCAAAGATCATGGCGACCTGGGGTCGCTTTTGTCATACCTGATGCTCACGCTTGTCCAGGGCAGGGATGGACACGGTTGTGACGAATTTGTAGCTCTTGTGAGGCGTCCTCAATGCCTATTAAAAAAATTAAACAATTTAAACAACAATTCGAAATAGAATAGAACAGGCGAGAGTATAACATCAGAAATTATGAAAAATACCCTGAATGTTACGCATGATATCGCATCAATTTTTCGCAAATTTCAAAAGATGTGAAATTTTGAAAATACTGTACGACAAACACCAATGCTGCACTGCTCGGAAAGAATGAAAAATTTGAACAGCTTCTAAACAAAATACACACGATGCCTCTCGCTTGAAAAAAAAATGAAATATTTCGACAGCTTTCTAAATAAAATATACTGTAGACATGCCTCTCGCTTGGCTTGCGGACTCGGCCAGCCGTTCAAATTGCCCGACGCCAGATAGTTGAGGTACGACTCGCGGACGTAGTTGGCGTCCACGGCGCCCATTTTCATCCTGGCCTTGTCCGCCCCGTGGCTCTCGAACCACTGCTTCTCATTGTAGTCGATGGCGCGTTTGATGTTGCGGAAGTTGAGATACCGGAACCGCTGCTTCTGGCGCTGTTTCTTCTCCCACAACCAGTCTGAGAGTTTCGTGCTCTGTTGAGTAAAAATAAAAAAAGGCGTGTGCGAAAATTTTGGCAAACATTCGAACTGGTATGAATATGGTACACAGTATTTCCCAGTCAGAAGACGGCGTAGTTCTTCTCACTTTGACACACGACCTTCACGCATGACTGGAATGGCATAAAGTGCGATTACCTTTAGTTGACTTTGTTCTATTTTGCTAAACAAAAACAGCACATTGATAGAAAGTCAGTTTCAATTCAAAAGAAGTACGGTACTCGTATATTCAAAATTTTAAAACTCAACTCCATCAAAAAGGCTTTGAAATTATGACAGGTCTTCAAAAATATCTGTCGCACAAGCACTTCACAGTATCTATTGAACATTTCCAATAAAACTTCAGTCTAGAAATGTTTTGAGAACCATGCTGGAAGGTAGAGATAAAAAATTATAAGGTCCCTGGCACTTCATTGTAACAAGATTCTACTGCAGACAACTTAACATACTATATTACTCAACATAGCCACAAATTTGAGACGCCATCAAAATGACGTAACCGCATTGCAAGGACCCTTTCAATTCTGAGAATTTTTTTAAACAAAAATTCAAGTGACTATAAACCCTCAATCTGAATTCAACATCTCACCTACTGTACAACATTCGATATCACTTGAGTAGCAGAAAAAAATTAAATAAAAAGCACGGAATCATGGAACCTACGAAGGAACCTGACTCAACCCTACGTAAACTAAATCAAAATATCCTGAACAAACCTAATTTAAATCAACATAACATGAACTAAATATGACCTAATCTAACCACGTCTAAAAGAAAATATCCTGAACTAACTCAGTCCAAATCAAAATCACCTGAACTTACCTAGCCAAAAACAAAGTAACGTAACCAAAAAATTTACCGAACACGAATTTGAAAAACTGAACCAAAACTAAATAAAATAACCTAACCCAAGCTAACAAAAAATGAAATAACCTTACCTAACAATAAAATAAAGTAACCTAACATAACCTAAACTAAATAAAAAAAACTTTGAAAAGTTGTGTCTCCAAAAAAAGCATTAAAACGTTGGTTTCTCCATTTTATGATGCTTGAACCAGAGCATAGTTGTAATGTATTCCCAGCACAGTCATGGATGTGTGATGGGTGACGAAGTGAAAAGAACCTCACCGCTGATACTTGCAGAAAAAGAGGGTTTCCGCCAAATATATGCAAAAAAAATAATAACGCGACATTCGATTAAAGCGGGTGTGTTAGCCAGGACAACAGCATCATCAACCACAATCTCTTGTTAGGTCACGTCCCTACAATTATTGACACACGACACGCCATGACACACGGCAACCTGGGTCACCTCGTCGTCATCGTCATCGTTGGAAAAGCTACTTTCTCGCTGATCTCCTCCTTCTCGTTTTTCCCTCATCAACACCGAAGAGGCTGTTGATGTCGGTGTTGGTAGTTGTTGTCGTTGTTCGTCGTCTGGGGTGCTGGTGACGAGCAGCGATTCATCATCAGCTTCAGCAGTCACGTTTGCATCATTCGCAGCCCCACCATCATCAATGACGTCGTCTTCGTCAAAATTGGCAGCGGGTGGGACTCGTGGCGGTGGTTTTCGCAAAGGATAAAAGTCCTGGACAATTTTTTTTTCTTCTTTCTGACTATATGACACCACAAGCTATGTTCGTGTCTTTTTCTCGACGACAAGCAAGATTGGGACTTTCTTAAACCGTATTTACGCGATTGTAAGATAAAATGGAACTCCGGAATGCATCTCAACGATTTCACCTCAATTCAATAAGAGAACAAGCCTTGCTAGGATTATACATGTCAAAAAGGGATCATCATCGCCCGAGTACGATTCCTCAAACGACATTCCAATCAATCACAACCCGTCGAGGATGTCGAGTGAAACCATAATAAACATGTCTAGCAATTTTTTTCACAAGGGAAAATAAAACGGCAGCTCATTGTGCTTAAATGAACACATTAAAAAATTTAATTCGTTGAATAGTTTTCCAAGGAAGATTTTTCCAATTGTGCGTCACAGAAAAACATCTGAATCACGGCTCCCGCAATATACACGATGTTTTAGCTGAAGGTGAACTCTCCAAAATGATATTGTCTACGAAGAATTTTGCTGTACAAGTATTCTTCTTTTTGGTCCCAAAGGGTTCTCTCCTTAAGTTATAGGGGTTCTCTACAACGAATGTTCTCTGGTCCCTTGAATTCCTTGTAGAGAGAGTCCACCAATATTACCAAGGGATTTCTACATTTTTCGGACAGAAATGAGTATGTTGGCAATTTCTCGAATCAGGAATGCCGAAAATGGAAAATATGGATGACAATTTGGTGGCTATGATATGTTGTCTTTAGAAATCACAGCTGAGAAAACCTATTAAATTTTTGAAAAGATCTACAGTAAAATGTGAGAAAAAGTTTGAGGATCTTCACTGAAAACTGAGGAATGGTTTTCCCCATTGATTTCTTGTTACAAAATGATGCACTACCGGCAAGCATAAGAGGTCCCACAAATAAATCTTGGTTGTTCTCGACGACAAGCAAGATTGGGACTTTCTTAAACCGTATTTACGCGATTGTAAGATAAAATGGAACTCCGGAATGCATCTCAACGATTTCACCTCAATTCAATAAGAGAACAAGCCTTGCTAGGATCAAATTACATATTTTTTTCAGCCTCCTTTTTTCTTCCCAACATTTCCCGAAGCGATTTATTCTCCACGAGTGCGATAAGGACTTTCTTACACTGTACTTACGCAAATTTAAGACGAAATAACCTCCTTACCACAATTTGTCAGCCGATTCAAATAAAAAAAACACGTTTACTTCATGAATTTAATTCACAATTTGAATATTGTATTCTCATCAAATATAATAGCGCACAAAAATGTTTCCAAAGCTGTCTTCAAAGCGAAAATACCTCTATCGTAAATATTGAGTATGAAAAACTAAGAAAAAAGGCATAGCTTATCTCAAGTTCCATTATTATTATAAAGTAACAATTGCCAGTTGCTTTCATATACTGTACTCGCACATCGGATTTCAGCAGTTTTATTAAATACTTATCACCAGAGATAGAACATTTTCAATGAGTGGATCAATTTGACGCACGGTATACTGAAAACATTTACACAATTCATGCACAATTTGATTTTGCGCACACTTTTGGATCACTCCGTCCATCACATTTTTTGAAATCTCATAGACGTCCGCTGATTTTTTTAAAAAGTGGATCGGAAAACATGTGCGCCTTAAATTTCGCGCAAAATCAGTCCTCTGAAACATCACGCGTATGTGGAAAAGATGAATTTCTTCGTGGGGGGAAAGCATACATTATGCATCAGCATACTGCCGTAATTTTAGGTTTCTCATGGAAACATATACTATATTTCATTTTTGTTGTTGAACAAAATATACGCATCTTCGCTGACTTAAATTCCCCATAGAAATAGATAACTGTATATATGCGTAATACAGGTGAACCTCCTCAGGTCGAACTTCAAGGGACCATCCAAAAAATTCGAGTCATCGAGGTTCAACCGTATACCAGGATAGAAAATTAAAGAGGACGAACTCACCACTCGGTCGGCATACACTTGGCTCCATACAATGGGATTCTTCCCCTCCAGCACCAACGGCCTCGCCATGACAGGGATGTACTTGAGTACTTGTTCTTTCACTTCCGCCAATGTTGTTACGTGTACGAAGTAGCCTGGAATTATAAAATTTGGTATAAATATACGCATCAGCTTTTCAAAATCAATCACACTTGAGTCTGTCAGTCATCATGACATGAACCTTATTGATTTTGCAAAGCAGGGCCACATGGTATTAGGAATGGTTCATCATTGAAAATTTCAGTCATATATTGAACCTGCATTCCTACTAAAATGTTCTTGTTAAAAGATAACACATTGAAAAATTGTTGAAAATCTAGTTTTTTTTTCAGGCTGAAAAGCGAATTGATGTGATCATGATTTGGGTGATTGAAACCAGCTGATCAAGATTGAAAACGATCATCTTAGATTGAACCTGACTTTCTACTAATGTTCTGTTTGTGTTGAATGAAAAATACATTTAAATTGTATTCAAAACTCGAGGTATTTTTCAGACTGAAATGAAAATTGATGTGAACAGCATGATTTGAGTGATTCAACTGCAGCTGAGGCGGTTGAAAATGCTCAACTTATATTGAACCTGCTTTTCTACTAATGCGCTGCTTGTTTTAAAAAAAATGTATGTGAAAATATTTTAAATGTCAGGTTTTTCTTTAAACTCAAATACAACTAATGTGACCATGACCCGAGTTATTGAAACAAGCAACTGAAGGACGTGTTCAAGTGATTACATTTTGTGCTCTTTTTGCTGGTACAGATTTACTTCATTTGCTATTGGGATTTCAATTTTGCAGATTTCAATCGGCATTCGACTTTCCCCATCTTAGTTATTGGAACACACCACCAAGTGATTGCATATAATAGGTGCAGTCAGTTTTTTAATGTGTAGTGTGAAAAAGTTGAACAAACAACAGAATGATCTGATGGTTTTACAATATGCTTTGGGAAAAATAAGAATCTTCAATTTGATTTCAAACATGACCCACTCCAGTTTGCATAAGATTAAAATAACTAAAAAACTCAACTTTCCCCTTGAATCAGGTAATTTGTTCAACTCCCTTTTCTCTTCTTGTGCACTCCGTCAAACAAAATCATTCTGGCCAAATTGATTTCAAAAATATAGGGATTGCGAATAGCTATTTTTAGTTACAGTACTTCAAGTCCCCTAAGAAGTACAGGGGGATAAAAAAAATCATTTTGAGCTAACTCCGAGTTCCTGAAATAACTTGGAGCAACTCAGCTTTCCTGAGAATAATGTTGGGCGACTTCAAGGTTTCAGGTTTGTTTTTCATGCTCAAATATACAAATTGATGTGACCATGAGCTGAGTTATTGAAACCAGCAGATAAAGGGGGTGTTGAGTGATTAAATTTTGTGCTTTGCATTTGGTCCAGATGCTTCAATTGCTCCGAGTAGGATGTTCAATTTGCATTCGAATTTCCCCACCTTTGTTGGAACACGCCATCCAGTGGACTTCGCGGACGTCAGTGACTTCTTTGCCGATGAGGTAAGTGAAGAGACGAACGTACATGTTGGGTCTGTTGTACTTTTTGAAAATCTCCTGGTAGTTTTCCGGCGCTCCGTCCGTCACCAGCATGATGGCCTGGTTGCACTTGTCACCACCCGAACTTGTGTCATTGTACTGCAAACAGATGAGAATGTGCAGTAATAATTATTAGCACAAGTCGCCGTTCTTGATAGAAAAAAAAATCAAAAACGCAGTATTTAAAAAATGTTCAAATGGCCAACAATCCATTGAATAAATATGCATTCACTGGAGTCCAATTGGCGAATTAGCCAGTTCACAACCAGCTCAAGCTTCCTCTTTCCAGAATTTTGGAAGGAAGCTCGATCAATTTTACTCAGACACACTGTTCTGTATACTCTATTTACGAGGGGTCTAACACAAGTTCCCACAATATAAATCGAAACGGCACATCTTTGAGCTGAAAAACAATTACCATATTTACTTGAGAACCAGGCGCACCTTTTTTTTCAAAAATTGAGAGGGAAAAATGGTGGTGGGCCATGGACAGGTATACAATTTTGAAATGAGCTGCAAAAAGATTTGGGACTCTAAAAATTTGATGAAAAGTCTCTTTCTAAAATCTTACGTGACCACAATAAACTGTTGGCTTCATAAGATTTCTCCTCAAAGATACTCTCCAAATTGTTTAATCAACTAAAACTTATCTGGGAGCAGACTAAACACCTTGTGCTTTAATTTGTGTTTGTTGACTGCATTATGATGGAATTGTTATTACTGATATTTTCTTTTTGTAATCTAGTGAGGGGAACAAAGTGTTTGCATTTACATCAGTTGTGCATTTGTACATTTTGTGATGTATTCTCCTTTTATTTAATACCCATGAACAGCTGATTTATCTATTTTCATCCTGATGTGATGGAATGTGTTTAGATGAATGTGGGTGGGGAGGAGAGAGGGTTTAGATGTGGGAACATTGTTTGAACCTTTTGAATGCTGAAAAGCGGAAAATGAAGTTTGTTTTGTCAATCAAATAATTTTACATGTTTTAGTAGTTTCGGCGTGCATTATACTGAATCTGATTCCAAAAGGGAAAATGCTGGGTCAATCTTGACAAAAGAACTTATGTAATGGAAATGATTGAAAATTGGTTGAATTGAGGATTAAAACAGGGTTAAAAAATTGGGAGCCAGTAGTTTTGAAAACTTCTAGTTTTAGAGCCACAGTTCGAAATATTTTGCTGAAAACTTTCGCAGAACAGAATCATACTGGCAGCTTTCTGGTCTTCACTCAAAATATGAGCGAATCGTGTTATGCTTTGCAGTGGGGCCCTTATACACGTGATACTGAAAAAAAAAATCGACGCAACAGCTGGAAAATGTCTCAAGATAAAACGCACGAAAAATTTCTAGACCAATTGAATTTTGTTTTATAATTTTGATATCTCTTAAATGCGAAAATTTAAGAATTTATTTTACTTTATCATAAATTCACTATAATTCATAATCTGAAACAGGCAAATTTTGTTCTTCCCTTTTTGGGCTCTTTTCCATGCCAAAAGATCAGATTTTGTGCAGTTTTTATTCTGCATGGCTATTTTCTGCACCTTGATCAAGTTGAAATCGTTTTTGCTCAATTCTTGGGGGACTTCTTTCAATTTTCAATCAATAGGCGAACCAATGGAATATATTCCCATAGAAGTCTACGGAAAAATGTGATCTGACATAGGGACAAGGTCCAAGCATCAATCATGTTCACAACCTGGGGCCCCACTGTTCTTGAAACTTGGGACACTGTTGATAAGATCCGCATCAACAGTATGGCAAAAACGGCTCCTTCATAAAATCCCACATGGCTCAAAAATCTTGTCGGGAACAAAAATACCTCAACCTGAATTTATGCATCAGAAAAGCCTCTTTTGGTCACCAAAGTATGCAATGGTGTGTAAAGACAAATTCTTAATGATCAAACAAGCAATTTTTGAATTCAATATCCGTTCACCAACTTTCTACATTAAAATCCTCAAAATTATAGCGAGGTGAAATTTGACTAAGTTCCAGAATGCTGGAGCAGAGATTGATTGAGTAATGTACAGTGTAGTAGTACCATACTGGTATTAATGTTGCAGCATTTGAAAATTGCCAAAAAAGAATTGATCCGTTAACTCTGAAGCTGAGATTTACTGGCCTACACGATTTTCACGATTTTCTCCCGCTCCCCGCAAAAACGCCCGTCAACTCTTACGATAGAACGAAGCTGTCTGTCTGTTCGCACAGATGTCGCTAGAAGAGAAAATTCGTACGAAAGCTCGATTTCATCAGCGCTAAAGCGGTATTTCGCGTCCCTCGCAAGAGTAGCAAAATTGATAACGAATCCGGAAAAAGCTTCATAAAATGTACTGCAATGGCAATAAAACTGTCGTTAAAAGCGAAGAACATCCGTAAGATTTCAGAAAGAGATGGGAGCAAAGCCGTGAGCAGTTTATTGTAGTGTTGTCTACTCGGAACTATATATAAGGTACAGTATATGAGAAGTTCATATTAGACACTGCATGACGTGAGAGACGCAGTCCAGGACGAGGATCAATGGCACGGATGCCTTCAAACAGAAAGCTTCTTTTCTTTTCTGGCATCAGACGAACTGCCTTCAAAAGGTGGAATGAGTGACACCGTGGAACTATCGATCCTGTTCCCTTTCTTATTTCGCCCTTTTCCTTCGTCGTCATTCTGTATCCAACAAGACGAGGGCCCTCTAAAACCCCAACCCCATTCTTTTCGCTCTCCCAGTCGAGGATTTCTTTCCAGACTGCTCTTTGGTCCTCCATCACATTCAACGTTGAGAAGTCAAGCTCAATAATAAGCGCTGGAAAATGCCTCCCACTAAACTGTGTAAGATCTTCAACGATTCATGGATTTTACGCAAAAAAAACCTTTTGCATATCATTTATCAAGAAATCAAGCGATGTGATCATAATAATAAAAAAATCGACTTGAATTTTTTAAAACAGTCGCAGAGGAAGAAAGAAGATAAATCAGGCATCCAAATAATCTCTCTTTTCCTTGGTACTCTGAGTCTATAATAATGATGCGAAAATTTCTTGAAGATGATCACGGTATTCAATTTTATTTTTTAATTGGAAAACATTACAATCGGACTTTCTAGCAAGTGATTCTTGAAAAACCTTTCTTGAAATTGTTCGGGTCAAGATTGACCTTTAATTCTTCTGAGGTTCTTCGTCCCGCGGAGAATGACAATTCAGAAATAAAAATGATCCTAAAGTTCACAGTTTAACCCATGAAAATATTCAGAAAGTTAAGTTTCCACGCGCCACTTAATAAATTACGATTTAATTTTGTCAGCTTCGTAAATCCTAGCTGACACAGATTCATGATTTGGAACTTGAGCCTGAGTATATAGTTGCGGAATAGGTGCTCAATACAAACCAAAGAAAGAAAAACTTGGATTCCAATGCAAGACACAATTCCAAAAATCTTTCCCATGAAAATTTTCCCCATTGAAATTAGTGGACATGAGTCAAAGAAATGCTGCTGAACCCAGCAAAATCATCATCATTGGATAATCAATAATTGTAGATTTCGGAGAAAATCCACGGCCGTCGAATTTTTCAAACAATTCGTCCAGAGATCCGAAACAGAAATTTCGAGGACAGTTCAAGTTTTCAAAACTTTATGATGGTTTCATGAAAATTAGATCCGATTCATTCGGAAAAAAGATCAAATGCAGAGAAAACTACAATGAGATATGCATTGCAAATAAATGTTGACCATTAGTTTTTCCGCAAAGATTGAAAGTATTTCAAAAATGCGCTCGGGCCCACGGGGTTCAACGTAATTCTTGATTTTATTCCATTCAAAGATTGAAGTGGGCCAACTTTGACGGACTAATTTTGATGCGCTGGGATGAGGGAGATATTTAATGACTTCCTGCTCAAAAACTTGTACAGAAATCGCGAAAATGGTCTGAAAATTCCAATTATATAAATATATACATAAACCCAGAAACAATCACTGAATTGGCTCAGCTCGGCGACGATTTCACGCAAGAAAAACTCTGTTCATCTTATATAAATATATACACTGTATATATATATATATATATATATACATATATACAGTAAACTGTACTGCATATATACTGTATATACAATATATCGAAATCTGTGTGCACCTATAGTATATGTTCGGAATGCAAAATCTTTTTCGCAGAAAAAGACACGTACAACATGGGAGATAAAAGAAGGAGTTGAGAATGATGCGAAAGAGATGAAATAAACTTTCTCCATTTTGAAGATTACTACTGAATCAATAAAATGATAATCACAAAAGCTGAGAACGATAAATGAAACTGTACTCACCCTCCGAAGCAACTCGAATGCTCTCGTGAGCGCAAGGCTGAGATTGGCAATGTACTCAGTCTTCCCCTCATCCAAAGATCCTTTGAACAGTTCCACATTTTCCGTATTTGCCTACATAGAAAAATTCACGAACGAGGAGTGAAGGAGTGCCGAAAGAAAATTATTCGCTCAATTGCATTATAGTACATATCATAACAGTTGAACCTCTTCAAATAAAAATTCAAGGAACAAGCAAAAAAATTCGCTTCAGGGGGTATTGAGATCAAACAAGCCTTTTTTTGGGGGGGGGGGGGGGGGGGGGAAAAAAAAACAGGAACTTGNGAGGCGGGGGGGGGGGGGGGGGGGGGGGGGTGAATACAGACAGGAACTTGAGTTCCAGTTATCAAGATTCAATCGCACAACGAATTAGTGCTTATAGAACAGCCTTATTTACAATCCTCGCTTCAAAAACACAAGCCACACGGTATTCTAGCTGAAAGTCGACTGCACAAACAGTGCATCGTATCGAATTAAAAAATCCCTATATTGCTTCATTATAACGACAGTTACACTGCATACCACATGATCAATGACCCAACACCGATCAATTTATCACTCACCTGAACAAGCGTGTCATTGAGACACGGAACTACAGGCTCCGTGTCCTGGGCAAACTTGTATATGTTGAAGAAGTCGTCGTCATTGAGAGTATCCAGGATGGAGAAGACGACATGTTTGGCGATTTCCCGACGCAGTCCAGTCATGGAACCCGACCAGTCAAGCAGGATGACCATGTGTTTGGGACTTGTCGCAGCCCGGATATACCAGGGGCGCATCCGGCAGTCGAACACATCATCATGGATAAACTCCGAGTCCGTCTGCCACTCGGCCGCTGTGAGAACAAATCCATTCGTCAATCAAGTCAGTTTAAAAGTCACCTTTTCTTTCCTAATCGGTCTGGAAATATGATGGGGCATAACAGAAACGATCACCTTCTTCGCATGCAGGTGCGTTAATGTTTATACTTCGATACAAATCACAATTCAAAAGAGCTTGAAATGTTGATGGGTACAATCGTGACTAAGCTCATCGTCTAACCACTTCCTTCCCGAGTCGTTTTTCCATTCTACACGGAACTTCATGATCTTCGTAATTACACATTTCATGAAAAAAATCAGAGAGCGCTTTATTGAACTGCACTTCCAGTTAGCCCCGTATTTAATGAAACACGACGCGAGTAAGACGCGTACCAGGGGGGTTTTCAGCTGAAAATTTTGATAGGATTATAAAATTGGAATATTTTTAAAAACACCCAAATTTGAATTTCGACATCAATTGAACCAGAATTCAACTAATTTCCGATTATTTTCACCGCAGAAAGTTCTTCTATCGAATGCGGTCCAAAATATCCCACTAAACCCGAAGAAAATTAACACCTACACTTCTGAAAAAATTAGTCACCTACGACGCGCACCCCCTTTTTGTCCTTTCGATTACAAAAAAAAAATGCGCGTGGTACTCAGAGGGCAGGAATCGCAAAATGCATCATATTCCAGGATAGACACAGTAAAGTCTAAAACTTTGTGCATTTATGTAAAGACCCATCAATAAAAATTTAATTTCGAAAACAATGCGAGGCTATAGCATCTGATAGTCTTCAGCACATTTCGGTGTGTATCCGATGAACTCAGAAGTGTGACGGTGCTGCTGCATTCTAATATTTTGCAAGATGGCGCTTCGAAGAGGCGCATAAACACGGTGGTAAGCTCTCGAGATGCCGGCTATTTGTGTAGCTTACATACCTGGATAATACCGAAGCACTCCGGTGCTGCTTCCAAAAAACTGCCACGATGGATACGGGTCCTTCTTGAAGTTGTACTGAAACGGCTCCAGGAGCAGTTCCGAAGCTCGGATCGCCTTCAGCACCTCAGTGTCTATATAAACACACACACGAAGAAATTCAGAGGTCACCAACGGCATCTCACTATATATCCACTTTATTGTCGTCTGCCAAACATGTAATCCCTCACCTCGGTGGTACACATTCCTCGGGACATGGATTACGCTGTATGTCGTGTTGATGTCGACATTGAAGCGCGGGTTGGCGTTGGTCAGGTCAATGCAGTCGGAATCACGAGCCGGCGAGTTCGGCTGACATCTGGGCAGTTTCCGCGCGTCCAGGTAGGCCGCGCTTCGCATTGATGATGCTTTACTACGCCGTGCTTCGTCCAGCCCACTGTTCTCCATCGTGTCCATCAGTCGCTGTGCAAGAATTTCATAGCATTCAAGTTATCAAGTAAATACCGTATTACGTTTACGTGAGTATAAGGTTCCATGAGAAAATCCCGCAGCTCAAAAATACAGAAGGCGCAAAAATCTCATCGCGGGGTATAAAAATCCCGCAACCGCGTGAATTTATGCATCAGAAAAAACCTCTTCCGATATCTACGCCATTGTGTAGAAGATTCTGAATTATGGAACGAGTATAATTGAAAAGTCGAATACAAAAGCCCTGTAGGAACAAAAATCTGAAAATTACTAGATTGTGAAAGTATGTCCGTGAGAATTATTTTGAAAGCTGAGGATTACATTTCTCAAGAGCCATGAGAAAGATGTTGCTTTCATTTGGACTGACTCTGAATACAGATTGTGTACTTTTCTATAGGTGTTCGTATTTGTCAAGAATTTGCGGCCTACGGGATTTTCGAACCGCGGGATTGTCTCCTGCATCTACATATAAGCGGGGGTGGTGATGGTATATCCGCACATTCATGTAATGTACGTAATCAACGTAGATACACCACAATATAAAAGAATCTTCCTTTTTCGGCCAAGAAAACAATCAGGAACTTTTCTTCAGTTCTTCGGGAATTGAAGTTAATCATAATCAAGAAATGGTCGCTTTTAGTGCTTCAGTAAGATGCATGAGTCAATGACTGAAGGGGAAGAGCAAAAGGGTCGTGTGACACCGTTTTTCCTTTTCTGGGGAAAAGCTCAGTTCAATCAAAAATGGTAGGCTCCTGGAAATTCAGAACATCAATAAAGTGAGCGGGTGTTTGTACTTGCCTTTAAACGGAATTTGAATTTTGTGCATGAAAAATCTGAGGTGTCATGTTCGCGTAAAAACAGTAGTGCTTCATAAAGCTAATAATGCGCGCGCTTCATCAAAGAAAATGACCATAAGGGAAACGGCTAAAATTATCGAATACAATTTTTCTGAAAAAAAAAAAATCCAGCTTTGAACCGATTCGAAGAGAGAACCATCTGATTCATCTCTCACAAAAACCGGTAGCGCATCGAAAATTTCATACGGACATTTTCCCCACACCTACGGTCATCATGTTCTCCCGAAGAAATTTCAGATTTTCTGAATGCGATTCCAATTTCGATACACAACTTTGATGCAGGAATGACAATGACAGTCGCTGGAAGCTTTTTTCAGCATTTTTATCATTTCTGTTTCAAAATTTGAAGGTATCAATCCTTTCACATGCACTGAAAGGGGAAAACGCATTCAATTGAAATGGACCAGGTTTGTGTTGAATGAACCTTTGTAAAAGTTTTAATAAACGCTTCCTTACTTTCAGAGCAGCCTCCTTCTTGCCGATCATGCGGGAAATATCCCTCGCTAATGCTCTCACGATATCATGCGGGTCCTCCATTGATGTATTGAAGTCGTTGTCGTTTAGATTTCGCTTGAAATTCTGCAATGGCAATTTGGAACGAGATGATATAATGAATCTAAGATTTTGCTACGCGAAGGCGCGTTTAGTCGGTCACACAAATGCGGAACAGTTGCAGTTACCCTCTCGAAAACTGACATAATTAATCAAATAAGATTTCGCACGAAGACGTTGTTTTCAGCGTGGAAATATCGACGGGAATTAAACTCGTAGCATTATTCGATGAAGGGCATACTGAACGCATTCCGCATCACGGAGCGTGAAACAGAACGGGAACACCTAAAATATTTTAAGATGAATGTTCGAAGAAAGCGTGCATGAACTTTCAACAAAAGCCATTCAATCAGACAACAGGAAAAATATGTAGAAATGTCTCATTCGTCTTCAGTGATAACTTAAAATCGAAGGCCCGAAGGAGAAAATGTCACGATAACACACCGACGGAGTCATGCATTTGTACTCTCTTCTTTAGGACTCGAAATGACAGTTTTTGAACCTTGTTCAGGTGGACAGGTGCAAAAAATAAACAAAAAAACAACACAAATGCAACAATAAGAAGGGATACGCTGACTCATCCACAGTATTGCTTGCTTGAAGACCGTTTCCATCACCTTCAAGGTGGAAATCTTCCGGATGCAGTTCATCTTACCGTGCCGCGGAAATTCATCCAAAATGTGGCCCAGTACTGACGATCATCAAATGCTGAACCAAAAATCATGCGCTACTCCATAAACTATGAACATTCAAACTTGTTCAATTTAAGATCAACTTCACTCCGTATCTTGACGTGATTTAATTTCATCAACTCTATTCATAGATAGTTTTTTCTGAAGAAAGTGCAAGTCATATTCAGTGGATAGCAAACTTCTTCAAATTTCCAAAAATGTAAATACAGTATTGAAAAAGCAGTCCATCTCATGCAAATGTTTTCACCCGAAAAATGTACAATATCTTGGTGTATACTCCTCGACTAAAATCTTCGAGATGGGGAACAATCGGGGAAATTCTTCCCACTAGCCATTGAGCCTCATTAGTATCATTTTTCATCAGCGCATACATTTTGCGCAATTTAGAACCAACAAGACGGAATTTCCTCATGTGGCAAGAATTTCGACGATGTCGTTGTTATGGTATAGGGAACTCGGACACGTAATAATTGTGACAGTACGGATAAGCAAACAAGACAAAATCGTGAATAATGCAAAAGAAAATAAATAAATGAAATACACACGCCGATGCCAAAAATCTTTGCAACACTGTACTGCACATCCTGCAATTTCTACAATCACAACGGACATTTAACCATCACTACGGGGTTCTACGCGATTTGCAAGACCACCGAACAAACGCATGCCAACTCTGAATCATAAAAAAATCCAAGATCGAAGGGTTCGTATCTTCATACCTTTTCAATTATGTCATACTTGGTCATCTTTGTAGAGAACGACTTGAGGTGAGTTTCAATCTTCGTGATCCAGAAGTCGATTCTGTTGGAAAGAAAAGCCGAAAATAATCCTTGAGTCATGAAAATGAAATTATCAAGATGGAGAGATCGATATCAGATCTCTTCAATTTGAGAGGATGGGAGTAGACAGAGTATATTGCAGATAAAATTCCAAGGATTCGCATGAATGTCGCGACTCGATTGAGATCAAAAACTATCTCTTCCACTAAAGCCAGCTGCTCTTTTCATCGAGCTAGATATTGTAAATCGTGGTTGAAGACAGCTTCCGCACGCACATTTCACAGCCAAGTTCACTGATTCAAATCAATGCATCAGAAAATTTCGCTTTCGAAATACGTGCGTCATGTTCAGAAACATCATTACCATCCAGGATACAGTAGGTGCTCAGTGTTGCTCGCGTTCAAATAAGGAAGTTCAAGTTTCCGTGCAAAATTGGAGCAGAGAAGAAAGAACAAAAACGTACTCAGCTTCCCGAAGTTTGCCGGAGTCATTTTCGTAATCGAACATTCCTGGTACGTTGAAGACGGTCTCCATTTGGCCAGAGGAGTGATCGGCGAACACAAGGCACATCACGACGCACAAGCCACCCGTGGCCACGACTCTTCGGCCGCGCGACATCACTTTCTCGCGGCTTTTTTTTTTTATTCGAGAGAGCTTCGAATGCTTCCTGTCATGCTACTCAAATTCGAAAATATTTGTCAAATGCGCTCTTATTTTAACTTATATATTCAAAAATTGCAACGGTGCTCGGGCTTCGGCCCCAATCCAAACTTCACCGAGTTTACCTAACCTTAATTAAACTCATAATTAATATTTTGAAAGATTGAGAGAAGACTCGAGCGAAAGGGGGTATGAGTATGGTTTTGTCGTGAACCGGGATCAACAACTCCTGTTTTACCCTCTCTACCCAAAATTTTCAACGAGAATCCGACGTCGACTCAACCATAACTCCACGAAATCACCTTGAAATCAAAATTAACCATGCCGATTTACCTGACCTTAATTCAATTCATTATCACTATGTTGTAAGATTGAGAAAAAACCCAAGCGAAAGGGAGTAAAAGCATGGTTTTGGCGTGAATCGGGTTAAACGGCTAAAAATTCGTTATTTGAAGGGAGACCCAACTACGGAGTTGGAATTCCCTGAGAACCAGGGTGCATTGAATAGGCACAGCTTGTACGATCATCTAGCTGAAAAATGCTCTCAAGCAACTCGAAGTAACTAACGCCAACAGTCCCCTAGTCGTTCTGGCGAATCCGAAGCATCGTCCGGCACATGAGACCAACACCGAAGTAAGCAACTCTTCAAAACGCATCTCAGGGACACAGTCAAGTGTTCAATCTCGTTCTGATTCGTCAAGCCGGTCAAACAAGGCAAGACTTCTTATATATGCTTCCAGTGTCGACATTCGCCGAAGAAGTTTCGCTCGGTCCAATAAAAGATCCAGTCCCAGCACTTTTATGCCCTAAAATGAAACGTTGATTCAGAAAAATTTCAAATACATGACAGGGTGGAAAAGTCCAAGACTTGCACGGAAAAATTCAGCTCACCCTTTTAAAAATCGTCGGTTGTCTACTACAGAAAAGATAGCTAAAAACATAAGAAAACCGAGGTTAAGTGATAATACGCGAAAGGATCACCGGTTCAACAAATTTACCAGCATCACAAGCTATTGGTGAATGAAAGAAGCAATAATCTTTACAAAGAGACAGCGCATCTCGACCTTGAAACCCGTCATCCATTCGAAAGTACTGTACAGTATACTGTCATTGTACGGTGAGTTTAGGATCCCTGCACTTTCTCTAATGTCTTAAATCTCAGAAAAGAACTCGCAGAGAATTTTCTCACTGATCTGAACTGAACAGTAAAATGACGATGCAACGCAAAACTAATAGGAACAATGTCTTCCGAGCATCAGTTTTCAGGAATTGCGGTATCCGTAATATTGCTTTCCATGTACAGTAATTGCATTTCGCAGAAAAAAATAACATCTTTTTCCATTTTTGTATTGCACTCATTGGCAGCGATGGAGTTATTTAAGGTGCACAACTAGATCCCATACGGACAACATATTTATTCGTTTAAACGTGTTCCGAGACATGCCAAGGTGAGTCAAACAATCAGTAGGGCTTCAGAATCGAATGCGTGAAATACAGTAGTTATATTTTACATGCATACTTTACTGAACAGTACAGTACATAGAATACGCTGCATACAAAATTAGTACTCATAACGGATACCGATTGCATAAAGATGCTCGAAAGCAAACAATCTAGTCCATTTTACGTCGTAATCACATCAAAATTCTGTTTATAATCAGGGCGCAACCATGAAACGCCAATATGCGAGATTTTCACTCATGAATAGATGGGCTCAGATCTCCGCCAAACGGAATGCAATTACTGCACCGTTCTAGGAAACAAAATAATCTTCATAAGTATCATAACGCAATCAATTACAATTTTCAACGCCTCGAAAAATTTCGAGTCACTCCTGCGATACAATAGAACGAAGATCTACGTCGAACTGAACACTGAAATCGTGTATACTCACGAAAAGGCAGCCAATTCAAGACAACCAAAGCATAGAATGGTCACAGACGTTTACCAAACATTTTCAGAATACTACGTATTCCAGTTGCGTTCGTAAGATCTCCGCCTTCTCACATGGGGAAATTTCCTCCCGCAAATGTATCAAAACGGGACGGAACTAGAATACCCTAGGGAGAAGGTAAGCACTCTTCCAGTAGATGACGAAATTTAACCCATCACCACAGCGCGATCACACAAGAATTCACCGTCTGTAACAAAAACAGCAAGGACATGCTCTGCAATACTCGTTTTATTGAATATGCTTCCCAAGCAAATAGGAAAGTAAGGACACGACAATCGAAGAACAGTGCAATTCTGACGCAGTAACTACAGCAGAGCGGCACATGCTTCCAAGGGTTCTTCTGGTTCGACGTCGTTCGAAAGGAAAAACGTTCAGACAGGTATCTGCGGCCTGGAAATAGGATGGGGTCGAGAATTATTGGTAACGCATCACCAATTATCACGTTGATTTCGTGAAATGAAGTAAATCTCAGTCGGAACAGGAGAAAAAGTGGACTTACTTCGACCATTCCACGCTCAAAATCAAGTGATCGTAACCATGTCCGTTGACTGCCTTGATGGCCTTCGCAGCATCCTCCTGACGATTGAAGCTAACGAATGCAAACCCCTTGGATGCTCCAGAAATCCTGAAGGAAGAGCATGATAAATTAGTGATCAAGCATGTCACCAAAAACTGAAACTTCAGACGCTCGTGCGTACTTGTCTTTGCCGAGGAAAACTCTGCTAATCGATCCAAAGGGCTTGAATAACTCTTGAAGATCTCCTTCACGTGCACTTTCCGACAAATTGGTCACTCGGATGGTATACAGATCCATATCTGAGCGTAGGAAAGACACGTAACTTCAAGCATTGCACTACATTACTCGACAATATTTACTGGTTTTAAATTCATATCGATCAGCAAAACACACGTCGCTTACCTTTTCTATGACTGCTCATGGATTCTCCGGCTTTCATTCCACCTTCACGTCTCAGCGGAGGAATGTATTTCCCAGGCTTAGCCTTCTCGTCTGCACCAAGAGCAGGTTTTTCGTCCTGATAAAAAGTTAATAGTCATATCAGTTCAGCAATTCAAGATATAGCGTTCCCAACGAGTTCAGGATGAGACATGACACAATTATTCTACAGAGAACTCGTGGATTTCATGAACAATGTAGGTACCTTGGGCTTTGCACCGGTCAGAATCGGTACTTCTCCCAACTTGTCCTTGTATGGACAACTGGAAGTCCAATGCTCTTGCTTGCAGATACGGCATCGGACGAAGCTCTGCTGTTTCAGCTTCATCAGTCCATCCGCGTTTTGTTGGTCGTCGAATTCCTTATTCGTGACGAACTGCGAATCGAGACGGGTTACCAGAGTTTCTATCAATATCTACGTGGAATTACGCAAACACTCCTCACTTGCATAAACACTTCTTCCGCTGGAACAGTAGTCGCAGGATCGGGCCCTGCGCCATCGTCTTTGGATTGACCAAACTTTTTCAAGGTTCTTCTGCGAGCTACTGCTTTCAGTACTTTCTTCGTCTCAACTCTGAACTGACGGATAACCTTAATGGCACATACAATCGTTCTATACTTCACTGACACAGAATGAACTCAAATATGAAAAACTTCCGGGTAACTTTCCAAGTAAATCACCCCGAAGTTAAGAATTTAAATACCTTGACTTTCTTCCCGTCGTCATTACGCTTGTATTCAACGACAGTTTTCACATCTTTATCCCACGTGATCGATTGCCCGGGGAGCTCAGTCGAATCTCCCTCTTCGACCTCGTCAGCCCAAGTGGATTTCATTCTCAATCTGAAATTTAACAAGCCTCACTCAGATTCAATGCATTCGAAACCCAAATGTAAACTCGTAGACGTACTCGGGTTCAGGCATTCCGACAAGAATACCACAATTTTCCGCACTTACTCCAACCCTGGTGAATAAAACACGGCTAAAATTATCAACTGGGGTTAATCGACCAGAAACGTAGCTCGATACCGCAGCGTTCCCCGAATGACTCGGACACACTGGGATCTCAAATCAGCTCGATAACACGAGTAGGGATTCGTTTCCGGAGCAAAGTTGAACAGCAGCGCACGTTTAGTACAAGAAACGCTCCGCGTCAATTTCGCCCGTATAGCAACATTTAACGTAGGTGTCACTCCACCTTCTCACAGAGCAGAAGTAAGAAAAATTGCATCCAAGAAATAAAATGGACCATTTTGATTGCAGTATTTTAGTTTCATTGTGAAGTGAGAAAACTATCCCATGTTCCACAACACCTGCTGGTACAGATATAACAGATGGCAGTCCATTCCAATTGAGTATACTTAAATCCATATAATATAGCATATCAGTTCAGATGGTAACATATTGATTGAACCAAGCAAGTTTTCATCCCATATTATGCACTACATTTTCAGAATTTAAATTAGGACGATCTCTGCAATTTAAAATCCTATTTCAACATTCACGAAATCCTGAACAGGTCACATATCACATCCATTTGAAGAAGCTGCTGCTGGTTGAAAAGGCACTTCAGAAATAATCTGCAGATGATCAAGCGTAATCAACATCAACTGCAATAATTAAGTACCGATCATTATGTGTGCTGCAGATTAAAAAAGAATAGCTATACTGTAATGAACAAAAAGGGGTTTCTCTTGATTTATTGAGCTGCAAACCGCTATATACAGGACAGTAATGCATATTATTATTATAGCTCTGAGGAGTGGAGGGTGATCAAAAATTTTTATATACTTTTGGTAACGTTTGTGTCATCGCTTCAAATTTTGACCAAAATTGAAGCTGATGACGAAGATGTTGGCAATGAATCAAGTTTACCGCCAAGCAAATAAAATTCATTCTGATTTCCATTAATAACTTTAATATTTGTTTCATCTAGATTTTCAGTGGTTTTCATTTTTGAAGGCATGTTCTATACTCACTTCCACTTCAGAACTGACCATATACGCCTAAGCTTTTAATTTGTTTGTTCTCATTCAATGTGTGAATTAAAAAAAAATTTACTATAAGAGTTCATTTCCTCTTGACTGAGGAATTTTCAATCACCCTAATGGATCATATGAAATGCTGTCTATACTGTATACCCTAAATTTAGTTCGTACAATTTTGTGACAGTTTTGCATAAAGTGCCAAAATTTCCCCACTGGACCAAATCTCATTCCATTGTACATTCAATTTAATTTGGTACAATAACTCACTTAATTGGCAAAAATTCTCTTCATTGATGAAGGCAGTGAGCCAAAATGTGAGAAATGCATGCCAATCCTAGGGATATCATTCGGTTATCAAACTTATCACTGATGATAATCACATTCCCATGCTCAAAAAAAAACTCAGGCTAATTTTGAGAATTTTACCTTTGAATTGAAGTTCTATGCTAAATTTGTTTTTGTTTCATGACAACATTGTTTATCAAAAACTTTACAGGTGAAAGCGGGAGTTTCACGTGAAACATTGGTGATTCCTGGCACCTGATTGAAACTTATACTGTACTTCCAGGAAACATGAAAAAACAGTTCTGCTGCTCTTTTACTTGACACAATATATGCATACTATTATAATGATACAGTTGAACCCCAAATAGCTCAAACCCTTCGAATTAAAAAACCCCCCTTTGCCAACATTTTTAAGGTCCCCATCTGAATCTCCTTATATTGTAGAAGCAATACATTAAAAACTGCCCCAAGTCAAAGGTATTTCCCCTCAAACCTCTATGAGTCAAATTTGCTGCGGCCTGCTGGCAATTATTTTCTTCCCCCAAGAAAGAAAAAAGCAATAAAAACATAAATTGTTGTGTTTTAAAAGTAATTGAAAGACTTGATCGGGCAAATGAACCCATGCCTTGTCCAAGTTCAGCAATTTTTCAACTCATTTAAGAAGCAATTTAAGCCCCAAAATATTACCATATCACAATTTTTGGCAATTTTTCTATAATTACCAGAACAATAGGGTTTTGTATTGTAGCTTGAATTTCTATAATTCAAAACCTCCTCAAGTCAAAACCTCCCTAAGTCAATTATTTTGCTGCTGGTCCCTTAAAATTTGACTTGAAGATGTTTGATTGTGCATATATATATTCTGCCATAGGAAATGTATCGAAGCACAGCATAATATCAGTGAATTTGGAGTTCAAATCATTTCCCATATCTTTCTTTCTTACAATATTATGGGCACTTGGCCAATAACAATTCTGTAAAGAATCTTATGCTGCCTGCAATATACAAAAAATTCAAGCAAACTTTCCTCTCATATGTACAATACCTTAGATTTAAAGCCATCTTGCTTAAAGTGCCACAAATTGCGCCAGGACAATTATAATGGCACTAAATTTAGGTTTTCCTGTGCAGTAATATTTGGATATAGAATTGTCTCCTTGCAGTCCTTGGTGATGTGAATAATTTAAAAATCCAAAATCCAGGGAATAATGTCTTCCAATTTCTTTTTGTTTGATTTGATGCCAAATGTTTCGTAAAATGGATGCATAGAACTCTACTGCTGTTTTTGGCAGAATCAGTAAGTAAGCCAGCTTTACCATATTCGTATATTTCCACTCATGTCTTGGATCCAACTTTCTGGGAATTGGGTTTCATGAAGTAAAATGCTGAGGGGCGAAAAAAAAATTTGGTTCGGGAAATACATTGAATAATTTCCATTAAAGACAAAAATATAACTTTATTTATGAGGATCTCTGGATTGATGGGTTTAAAACTTTTTGCATTTTCAAACAACTTTCTGCTTTTCCATGTGAATATTGAACTGTATAAGCTTAATAATACGTTGTCTTAAATTCAGTTCAAGAATGAAATCGAACTTTAGGACGGAAAATGGCGTAGTTTTCGGGAGAAATCATAATTCAAAAGGACATATTTTTCAAACATTTTTTGCTAAATTTTTGTGAACGATGTTGTGAACGTCGTTTGCTGTGGAATCGTGACGAAACTATTTGAACAGACCCAACGATTCAAGTCTCAGATTCTTTTTTCTCCAGAAATGGATTTAAACTTGACAAGTAGAAAGCACTGCAATATATTGTCGTTTACGTGCTTCAGTGAAATGGATGAGTCGATTTCCTTCTCTGGACTGTTTATAAATAGTCTTTTTATCCATTTACAAAGAAGCGGGGATTGCTTCTTTTATTGCGGAGCGGAAAAATCGTATGCAATTTTCGTCGTCTGTATCCGAATCTGGCTGATGATGCTGGTCTGCAAAATTTGGCGGAAATAGATCCTGTATCTGAACATGCTAAACAATCATGTACAGTATGTTGAATGTTTGGAATATATCCACGGAGTTTCCTGGTTCAGACGAAAGCACTTTTAGAAGTTTCGGAATGGTTCAAAAATCCTTCAGATCAATTTAGAATGGATGATACTAAAAATTTGAGAAGTTTACTTATTATTTGATGAATATTAACATTCTAAAATATCGCAAACCAGATTGAATGTATCAGGATTGCACTACTTCCAATTTTTCAGCTTCAAAAATATCATCATTGAAAATATTGTCATATACACTAATATATGAGTCGCTGCATAAAATAAATTAATCAAATCCTATGTGCGCTATGTTATGCACAATTTTTGTATTTGAGGACGTAATTATCCTTGAGTCTGTATTGAGAATGATTCAATTTGCTCCAGCTGGATGAATTATGGAAGCTATGCATATTTTCATAGATTTTTTGCATATAATTTCTGAACTTTGAAAGTTATATTGGTATCAAATTCAAATTGGTTTGTGCTCTGACTTTCCCTCACTTTTGAAAATTTTAGACATGTATTTTGTTATGTGTGTCAATTTTTTCCAATTAACATATTGTTTCATGTGCAAAGTTTATTTGCACAGATCTCTTGTTATTATACAGGGACCAACTGACTGTGAAGGACAGCTGTCACTTAACACAAGATGATTAAAGATTAATTGCTGTAGATCAAAGGTTAGTGGAAGAAAAATGCAGATTCAGCCCATCAGGAGAAAGGCCTGGAATTTTCATCAAAATCGGTATTACAGTTTTGAATTATATTTTTAAACGTCGCACGTCATGGAATTATTATGACAGACTGCTTTTAGACAAACCAAACCATTAGCTCGAAGACAAGAAACAAAAATGAAAAGCTGAAAACCTGTCAGCAAGCTCTCATTTTTGGACACACAACTGCTCCCATTGACAGCTAGGCTAAGACTAATAAATATTGGAAATGAAAGAGGTTTTCTTTCAATTCACTGCAATGGCCTTGATCTGGATCAGGCAATTTTTTGGGGGGTCTGGGATTGGCCTAGAAAAAATGGAGTCAACCCTTGGGAAGAAAACTTGGAAAATAAAGTTCTGGAAATTTCTGAATTTATCTGGATATCTCTGTTTCTACTGTTTTTATTATTGTGTAGTTTTTCCATCACATTATTCCATGCCCCAATTAACGAGACAAGCAGCACACTGTGGTGGTGGGTCCCCAACACTGTATCCAGAAATGGAAGGAGAAGCATATGATGTATTAAAGTATAGAATGTTCACCTATGTAAAAAATCTTTGATTAAAGTTTTCTTCAAATCTTGGCTGCAAATTTCAGAAGCAAAACGTTCAATCTTCAAGGCGCCAGAAAATGAGTTATTCTTAATAAATTGATTTTAATCCCTGCTTGCAAATTTCATGACAGATATAAAGACATTTTTAAAAGTAACCTTTCATAACTTCCCAAGCAAAATCAGAAGATTTTAAGGATACTTCACACTGACTATATCAGAGAATCAGATGGATTTTCCTTTCAGGAAATTGTATCTTTTGTGTAGCTTATCACGAAAGCAAGGCTCCTTCTTTCAGAATCTGTTATCTACTTTAATGTCAAAGTTTGGTGTGGAAATCTCAAAACTTTGCTATCTCATTTTTTACAAAAACCTTATATGAAGAAAAGCTTTCTGACGTTT